TGAATCAAAATCCAAAATGGTGGATCAGGTTCCCACGTTCGGGGAAGACCCTTCGGCTTCCCAAATTGGTCAGCTTTCTCCATTTTCGAGGAAACCTCCTCAGTTCCCGTGCGGGTGGGTGGCCCGACCGAGCCCGCACAGCCAACCAGATGCCAACCCGGTTCCCCGACACTAAACAACCAACCAAAACAAAAAAACAGAACGATTTTACCTTTCGGCGTGGGCGATTTGGCCTCAGCTTGGCTCCCGGTCACCTCCTTTCGGTCACCCCACAACTCTTTTGCGTGCCTGCGACTGGAATGGTAATTTTTAAGCCTAAAAAATCAGTTAGTGAAAAATAGAAATAGATTGAAAGGAAAATAGGGGAAGAAAAGACAAAAATGACAAACTTTTTACCTCACTTGCCTCGGTCTCCGCCGTCACACGGCGTATCAACCGTTCTCTCTTCCTTCTTCTTCCTTTCGGTTTGGCTTCCTCACTCTCCCACCTCCGCCTCTTTCTTCTTTTCTTCCTCCCTCGCAGCGGCCGTTCTTTAGCTCCCCTTCTCTTTCCCACTCGACCCCTTCTCTCTTTCCTTCTCCCTCCTCTTTTTTCACTCATTTTCCTTTCTCTTTCTAGCTTCCCTCTTCCTTCCCTCTCCTTCTTTCTTCCTTTCGACTTCCCTGCGTGACCCTCTCTTCTTCCTTCCCTTCCTGATTGCTCCTCTCTTTTTCCCCTCTCTCTTTTTCGGCTACTCTTCAAAATGAAGAGAAAACCCTAATCTCTTCCTTTTTATACTCGTTCCTTCAAATTGGATCTTCATGACTCGATTTGAGCCATCTATTTTTTTTTAAATCTCCTTCATCTGATCTCCTCAAATAGTCCAATCTGGGCTGTCCATTCTCTTAATTTTCTTTGCCCCCTTCCACTTCTCCTTATTTATATTTTTGCCTCTCTTTTTCTTACCCACTTTTATATAGGTCCCTTAAATTAATTAAAAGCCCCAAATTTTAAAAATTCTTTTCATTTGCATCGAAACTCTAATTTTATTTATTTATTTTATATTTTTTTTATGAGATGGATTTTACACCATGAGATCCTGGTTTTGATGATTCCATTTTCTTTTAATATTTACCTTCTTTGATTAACTTTAATTAAGGCATAACAATTATCAAAGTTTTTATATCAACACAACATGTTTTGTCTATCCATAATTTCACGTGCATAGAGTAAGATAACCCACATAAGCAATACACTAATGCTAACTTCATATCCTCGTTACAGCATTAAGAACATAGATATAAATATCATTCGAAGAACAGGTATTAGTTAAAAAAATCTAAACAAACTATCATTAAACTAAATATTAATAATCGAAAATATGCAAGAAAGAAGCTAATCTCTCTTAAATATCTTTTAAGCTCTACTTCGCTCATCAAAAGATAACGGATCTTAACTTCATTGAATTTTGGTATTAACCATGTATGAATATCATATCTCCATATTTCTTGCATACAATTCCTTTTCTTGAAAAAAAAAATTCATGATGCAGTATATAATTTAACAATATGACAATTTCATTCTATTGGACATGTAATATCATACTGCAACAAATCACATACTAATAATGCATAATATTCATACGTAAATTTAAGTAAGCATAAAAAGAAACAGAAAACCGTATCCACCACCTTTATTTCATTTTAACATAAGCAAATCCACATGCATTAATAAATGTAAAATGTAAATTAAGAAGAAAATAGCAATACTTAAAGCTTCAAATTAATGTTTTCCCTCTTTCTACAAATTCCTGATCCCACAAAATACAGAAAACTTGAAATATATTTACTCAACA